CGCTAGTTCTAGTGCTCACCCAATGGTTTTGCTCAGTCAGCTCACCTTCCAGATCCAGCAGAAAACTTTTAAATCAGGGAATTGTCAAGTCTTCAGAGCAGTCTGGACTTGTAGTTAAACTGTGTTCAACTGTAACTAAGAATTTCAAATAAAAACAGTCTGTCACCAAAAAAGACTGCCCAGGTGCAGAAACTATGCACGTGTTACTTGCACTCAGGGAACTATTTTGAGTATGATTGCCTTGGGGGCTTTTTGTGGGTTTATTGTGGTGTTGGGTTTTTTTTAATGAAAGTACAGCAAAGCCACACCCTGCAAGCCCCACAACATGAAGACACAATATTCTCTGTAGTGATCTGTGACAGGGGACTCCTGAAGCCTTTTGGAGAAAGGATATGGAGTTATCTGTATGTTTACATTTTCCTGTAGTAATTTTTCTAAGCTGACACACAGTAGTGCATTTTCATCAATATCGCAACCTTAGAGAGGTCAAGACAAAGGACTGCAAACATACTTGTCTATCGCTTCATGCTTTAAGCTTAACACAATGCCTCTTGTCTCTCCATTCCCAAACAATGTGAGATTGTCATTAATTTTCTTGAAACTGGTGGCCTTTTTGTGAGTGCTGCTCAGCCGCTTTTGAGTTTATAAATAGCGTTCCCAAGGGGCAGTCTGTACATCTGTGGAATCCCCAGAGTTGACCAAATACCCACCGTTTAGAAAATTCTATAATAAAATATTATTTCTCCTGACAATTACACACCCTAACCTTCAGTTATACTAACTGAACAATAGGATGTGTTGCCATACTCTGTAGATGCTCCTGTATAACTATTTCCAGCAAGCTACTAAACTTTACAAGAAAGTTGGTTTCCTGCATTTTCAATTCTGAAAGCTATCAAGTAAATTACAACTAACAAAATCATTAGGCATTACTGCAGAGAAAATATTGCCCAGATCAAGAAAGGACACACATTTCTCTTTCCCACCCGCAGACAAACCAAACTTGGTCAATTTTGGTTGTTACAAAAGTCAGAATTTTGATTGGATCTAATAAATATGAAATATTTTCAATGTACAAGTGTTAGCTCTCGTCTTACTAAGGTACTCCTGACTGTGAAGAGGGGCCCCTTGGCAGAGCTTTGAGGCTTTCACTGATTACTTTTTTGTTGTTGTCATGCAGAGTAAGAACTTAGATATTTATCTACATTCCTGCAGGCTTGTATATCCTCTCCCTCAGGGCATTGATGCCTGCTGCCAGCAATGCACATTAGGTTTTCTAGACAGACAGCAAGTTCAGCCTCACAACAGGCTGAGCACTTCAGAAGCACCTGGTAGCTTTATATTCTCCCTCCTTTAACTTTAAAGAAGTTAAAGTATTGGGGATTATTCATTTTACCAGAGGATTTTCCACAAAAACAGCAGAAGATGAGTTTACTGTTTCATTCACTGACTACAAGTGGAAATTTTTACTCTATTTCCCTTTTTACAGTTATCAACATTTCAGCCTGAAGAAGGAAAAGCAGTTTTTATTCTGCTTGCAGAGATAATGAAGTTAGAGACACAAACAGAAGGTTGGATTTATGTCTCAACAAGTAAAATGTTTTTCAGTTCCCGTTTTAGTTGGGGCAGTGAGCTGAGATTATTTCTACTTTTCCAGATTAAGGTGTAAAGAATTTTAGGCTTTTAGTGTGCAGTCAGAGGAAAGCATTACAGATTAATTACCCAGAATAGTTTGGGCTTGCATTTGCCCACCTGGAAGTGCACAGAGGGATGTGTGACAGAAAAGGGAAGTGTGCTCCAGCAATGGTATCTGTGTTGCCAAATGGATATCACCAAATACACTCACAAACCCGAGTGTTTTTCTAAGGAAGCAACATTTAGCTATCTAATCAGCTGCTGTGTGAGTTAATTAACCATAGACAGGAGCATGGATAATTCATACTTTTCCTACCAAAAGTAGGCACCTTCCCCAAAACACCCACTCAGACAACAGTGCAAACACGATGTTTTCTATTCTTTTTCACTTCTCCATCTGTGTTATTTCTATCCCAGTTTACTTGAAATGTCAGTATCCCTTCTTGAATATAATTAATCCTTACAACTTGGCCTTTCACATCAAATTCTTTCCTTTTTAGAAATTCCAGTTTATAACTGTTCTAGAGTTCCTGCTGTACTCAGGAACTCCCAGTCTCTCTTCATGACCTTTTGTCACAAACAAGAGCAAAACCAATAGTTTTGTTTAGACACATTGGTCTGTTAAAAGACCATATTTTTTTTCCAAGAGAGCACTTGGAAAATAGGATCAATCTGATATAGCGACAGATGGTAACATCATATTGGTCAGAGGCAATTTCCCATCTCAGCCATTTTCTACACCAATTAATCACAAATCTCTCACGGGAAATCAAAATTCCAAAGCTTATTCTTGTTTCAGTTTGAAAATACACTATTTCTTGCAATGAATGTTCCAGAAAACGCTTGCTTCTGGAAACAAAAAGTGGTTTAAATATCCTATGTTTTTCTTTCAGTGTTTATATTTGTCTCATGGCATGTCAGTAATGACCAGATTCAGTGAGTTTAGTCCTCTTAAACATTTCTCTGACACCCCAGGTGACTGATCCGTTTTCTTCTCAGTGCATGAAAAATCCAAGTGCCAAAGCCTCAGTGTTTTTAATTCTTGCCGATCAGCTCTACAGCGTTATACTGGAACATTTTGTTACTCTAGAGCTAGTGGCCAAAAGGAATGCAGGAATTCCCATGCATGAAATTCATCCTTGTTATAATATTGAGAAAAGAGCTAATGTAATTCTAGAAAAGTGCAGCATGGTACTGTTCATGTACCCAGACATTTCAGTCACTAACTGGAATATTCTTTTGAATTTTAGGATAAACAGTGAAGCTCATTTCACCCAATTTTAGCTGCATGTTTCAGTTACTCTGCTGATGCTGATTCATTTGATAATCTTTGGAAAGAAAGAAGCAGGCACTGATTGGAAACAGTTTATCGGATCCTAAAATAAGTGCCTAAAATATGAGTGATAAAAACCCTGGAGAGGTGCCAGCATCTTTCTGGTGGCTATAGAGGGAATCCATACAACTAGCATAGACTTTGATGACTAAATTTTGATAAAGTGATGGATGGATTACATGGATACATACTCCTCTTACAGTATGTCTGTATTATTTTCCCCTTTACATTCTACTAGTAAAATGTTTCCCTTGCAAACAAAATCAACAGTGCATTTTGGACAATCTAGAATTAGATTTAGTTTGCGTTTCTGGAGATTGCTTCATATACCCAAAAGAGTGAGACAAGACCTAGACACAGTTGCTTAAAGGGGAAGTCTTGAAGTGGAAAGTAATAAAATGCTGGTCTAATCCAGTTATGCTCTTGCTATTTTTGAGCTTCTTGGGGTGAAAGATAACCGTTCAAACTGCAAGGTCCTGCACTGGTCCTGCATGTAAGCCAATGGTGAGGAGTTGTTCTAAAAGAAAGGTGTTGAGGAGAAAAATCAGAGTATACTCACTAACATGATGCAGCCATAAAAATGACAAATATGGTTCAGTTTATCAGGAGAGGTGTTTCCTTTATGCTGATGCCATTATTTAACTAGTAAGACCTACTCTTGAAAAAAGAATGCAAAGCCATTCAAGAAAAGTAAATTCAACTTGGAATAAGTAGGGAAAAGGTCCATTTGAACCACACTGGAGTGTGAGCAGTCTAAAAGAGCTTGTTTAGTCTCACAAAAAAAAAGACTGAGAAGGGGGGTATTTGCTCTCTGTAAATGCAGATCTGAGGGAGAGGAAATGACTACAGTTTACAAGCAGCACTGCTCAGAATTGGTGGATGCAATATGGTGGTACTTGTGCTTAGACTGGGATTTAGAAAGGAAATATTACTGCAGAGCATAGCCATGATGTTCTGAAACAACATTCACACAGAGGTTGGAAAGAAGTTACATTAAAGATTCCCAGGATGACTCTTGCTCATTTTATGTAATGGATTATTATTATGCTGTTTGCTTTACTAGCAGGAAAAAGGATTTTGCCACATTACTTCCTAAGGCCATGTATATACACGCACACATATATATAATGTATCTTTGTGTGTATGCATACATTTGCTGTATGTACATATACATCTATCATAGAATCATAGAGTGGTTTGCGTTGGACCTTAAAGCTCATCCAGTTCCAGCCCCCTGCCATGGGCAGGGACACCTTCCACTAGACCAGGTTGCCCAAAGCCATGTCCAACCTGGCCTTGAACACTGCCAGGGATGGGGCAGCCACAGCTTTTCTGGGCAACCTGTACCAGGGCCTCACCAGAAAGAATTTCTACCTAATGTCTAATCTAAATCTGTCTCTTTCATCTTGAACCCATTCCCCCTTGTCTTGTCACTATATTCCTTCGTTAAAAGTCCCTCTCCAGCTTTCTTGTCAGCCCCTTTACGTACCAGAGTGCTGCTATAAAGTCTCCTCAGAGCCTTCGCTTCTCCAGGCTGAAAACCCCCAGCTCTCTCAGCCTATATATTTATTTTTCAAAAATCCTATACACAAGGGTCAAGTTCTTACCATTCCACAGGAAGCAGAGTGCAAAGGCACCTGTATACATTTATAGGCTGGTACAGTGCTTTACAGAGCATGGACTTCACTATTACCATTTTGCCTTTGACATCCAGATATTCAGGAGTAACTGCAAAATAGCACACAGATGCCAGACCAGTCTTAGCATCACCAAGTCTGTGTACTGGTGACAGCAGTCAGTATTATCACAATGAGCTAGGTAGCTCTGCTGTCTCCAGCGGGTTATCATGGTCCCATTTGCACTCCATGTCTCTCTTTTTCAGGATGAACAGTCTTCAGACTAAAGGGGAGGCAGAGGTGCAGACTTACAGTAATAAGGAATGAAACTGTCTCTCCTTCCCTGAAAAAAAGAAAAAGAAGACTGAAGTAAAGAACTGAAATCTTGTATAAGCTTTGGCTGTGCTCCCATACATGAACCAGGTGAGTTACCACACCAGCCCAGAAGTGCTTAAACAGTTCTATCTGACAGCTGCTGATTAACTTGCATCGTCTAGCAGCAAAGTGAGAGGTGCCATACAGAAGCCAGACGCTTGAACTGTCACCACTTGTGCAAGCTGGTGGCCTAGAGTATCTGTTTCTGTGGGGCTATCAATCCAGCATCTGTCACAAGCATCTAGTTCTAGTGAGGAAACAAAGGGAAGCCTGAGTGATACATCTTCCAGCTGCAGTCCCAAAGAAGTGTCATAGGAGGGCAATAGAATGCCTCTTCTTCAGTGAATGAGTGGGTATTATTACAAGGCACATAAAATATGCACAAGGTCGAATTTCACCTCTACCAAAGGCAGCAGACACCAAATGTCTTTAACTGAAGGAAGCTCTGCAGTTTTGCTCTTGAACGTCCTTGAAGAAAGCCGTAGTAGGATGTCATAGCTACGTGTGATAAGTGTTGTAACTTCCATTAGGCATGATAATGAATGCGACGTAGTAATCTCATTCTTCTGTACTCCCATGCTGTATTTTCAGAGAGTGAGATAGAAAAAAACAAGAGGCATGACATCATTTTTATGTGGTAACTTCTTGCCTTAGAACAGAAGATCCTTTTTCTTTCCATTTACTTATTTTTGTAAGTACAACAGCACTGCTCTATGCAGTTCACCATCTCCTTTTCCTCTACTTTGTCTCCTTTCATGTGTATTTGTTGGGGTTTTTATAACAGAGCTTATTCTGCTGTGGCCTGCACCACTTTTTCTCCTTGTCCTCACCTCCACACAGACCATTTATTCTTGTTTAAATTATTTATTAATTTTATTTAATTCTGTAAGGCCATTTGCAAAAGAGATGGTATTTAATCCACAGGTTTGTTCTGTATATCCTACTTGTTTGTAGAGAATGCTGATAATCTTCTTTGTAATAGGCTTTAAGATGAGGATTGTAACTACATGATTGTGGAGACAGTGTTCTCATGGGAGAATGCATAATTAGTACATAAACTCTGAATAATCCTGAAAGATACAGCAAGGCCATGAGAGGACCAAAGAAGCTTAAGCAAGCAAGATAAAAAGAAGCTGGAATTCCCTGAGTTAATGAGAACTGTGGACTGTTGGCAAGCTTTCGAGGTCAAGTTCTCACACCTGTGCTTAACCAATTATATGTTAGTCACTAAGGGTCTTCAGGATATGTATCCAATCATAATATGCCAAATCACTGTAAGTGCATGTAAGAAATAGTATATAAGGAGTTAAGGCTTTGTAATAAATTTGGCAATCACTTGATCACATTGATCATCTCTGCGTTGTCCGTGACTCCCGCGTCAACAAGTGGCACCCGAACAGGGACCCTCCGATCGGTAACTCGACAAAGACAAGTTTGAAGGTCCGACGAAAAGGAGGGGGCGGAGAGCCGGCCGAAAGTCAGCGCTGCCCCGGCACTGGGAAGTCAGACGTCTGCAAAACTTCAGGAATCTCGCCCTGATCAGGTGAGCGGCCGGGGAGGAGATGGGGCACTTGCTATCCAAAGAGGAACAGGCGGTGGTGAAGCTCCTCCAACACATTCTCTCTAAGAGAGGACTGCAATATGATAGTGCCGCCTTACAGAGGCTGTTAAAGTGGTCCCATGATCGCAAGGTTAGTAAAGGGACCAAAGATGCACGGAAACACTCTACACTTTGGAGACTGGTGTTCGAGACTTTGAAAGAGATGAAACTGGAAAGGGCTGCGGTAGCTTCTGTATTTGCCACCAGAGCTCCAGAAGGGGCTGTCTCCCCTAACCCCTATCATAGTGCTGCGGCTATGACTTTTGCACCTCCTGTGGTACCTGGAGCGGCGCTGAAAAAATCAACGCCCCGAGCCGATGAAAGCAAGAGCCAGGTCCGCAGATGGCCACATACTGAACGAGAGACACCCAACAAGAAAGACATAGCTGCAAACAACGGAGACCCTGAGTTCGACCCAGGATCAGACTCCGAGTCCCCTGAATCCGAGCCAGATTTATATCCTCTGCTTCCAGACTCTGACTCTTCGTCTCCCGAGTCGGTCTGCTCAGCTCATCAGTGACTACTCACTGGTCTTGGAGACGCTCAGCTGCAACAATTGATGAAAAAGCTTGAAGCCCTCGAGACTGGGATTGAGACATCTCCATCGGTGCCTCCACCTTATCCTCCGCAAAACCCGTTCCTTAAAGAAGGCAAACAGGGGGAGGCGGTGGGAGAGGTATCGGGGGGCACAAATCCTGCGCACCGTTGGCACGGGTTAATCAAAGATGCAATTATTACAGGTGAATTTTCTGCAATGGGCCTCTCTGCATATCCTGTGTTTACTACACAGCAGGGGGGTAAAGAGTGGGAAGCTTTTGATCTCAAAATAGTTAAGGAGGCCTGACAAGCAGTGACCACATATGGGTTAAAATCCTCTTATACTCAAGCTGTATAAGTTATGATTTTTTTTGCGATTGACAGGAGACTTTAATGACTCCCCTGCTATAATACATGGTCAGGCATTAGGTTCAGGTTATATGACTAAAATTCCAGGTATTCTGGTCCAGTACAAGGATTTGGAAACCGGCATTTGGAAAGGTCCTGTGGAAGTAAAACTAACTGGTTGAGGTTATATGTGTGTAAATTACAGATTCTGGTTTGCAGTGGGTGCCAGCTCGACCAGTGAAACCCTGGAAAGAGTCAGCATCACCCCAGGACACCCCCCTTGTCAGTGATTGAATGAATTGAAATTTGAGCTTAGGACATCCGTTTTATGGATGTTTTCAGTCCTTCTTAAAGTGAAGGGAGCAATCTTTTTTACGTTAAAGTCAACAACAAACAAAAAAAAAAAACAACAAAAAAAACCCACCCCCACGCCCCCCTCCCCCAAACCTCCAGGGAAGCGAGATCAGCACGGGATACAGCCGTATTGTGTGACTTTCTGGTGGTGGGAAGGTCTCTCTTATGCTCTTATCAGGGGTATTGGGCATACTGTGATGGACCGTGGACGTGGGAGCCCGTATACAACTCATTTAATACAGTTTCTCTGTGATACTCATGTACTAGAAGTTGGTAAAAATAAGTATGTCCAGGTTTCTATCAACCTTTGGAGACCTTTATAGATATTGCTGGCCACTTCTTCCAACATAGGCTGGCCACCTGTGTCGGAATGATTGTGCATTTTGGTCAGTATAAAAGCCCAAGCCTCATGCTCTGTGGGGGAGGCAGAGCCTCTGTGGGGACACCCGCTGAGGATGAGCCTGCCACCTCGCACTGCAATGATGCTTCTCGGAGCTGGTTTCCTGTTAGTCTCCACAGGGTCCTTACGCCACGTTCTGTACGTGGGACTGTGTAGTGGGAGTAATGATTGTCTGGATTTTGTGCTTCAAATATTGTAGTTGTGTGGAGTGTGCTTGTGGGATCCCACACGTGTGTGTGTGTGTTGAGGGTAGACGGTGTTCTGTGTATTTTTTGTTGTTGGGTTCATGTGAAAGTTTTTAATGGGTAGCAGTTTAACATTTCGGGCAAGAAAGGGTTAATGCAAAAGTGTGGTTGCCGGCAGGTATTTATGGTTGCTGCTGAAGCAGGCAGGCTTTTATAGCTGCTGCCGAGCAGGCCAGCTCTTATAGCTGCTGCCGAGCAGGCAGGCTTTTATAGCTGCTGCTGAGCAGGCCGGCGTTTGTAGCTGTGCAAAGCAGGGTGAGCAACTTTTGGAAAAAAAAAAAAAGCTGACCTCCGATTCAGCTCCCGGTGCTCCACCAGCGGAATGGCCAGGATGGATGCCAGAGCAGAGGAGTGAAGGGAAAAAAAAAAACAAAAAAACAAACCAACAAAACAAACAAAAAAAACCAAACAAACAAAAAAAACCACCACCAAAACCCAACCTCTCAATCTATTGAGGTATTGAGGCAGTTTGTAGAGACACCACAGACAAAGCCTAAAGAGCACCCGCAACACAGTGGTTGCATGGTAGGAGCCTTGCTTAGTATGTTTAAGGTAACCTGGGGGTGAATCCAAGACTTGGAGGACTAGATAGATCAGTTGAAATAAGAACTGCTAACTGAAAAAGCGAGAGGGTAGTGCAACCACAAGCTTTCTGAGCTGTCACCTAAGCAGCATCAGGGTGGCAGAAAAAAAAGAAAGAAAAGAGGCAATGATGCAGCAAACTCCTCGACTGTTAACAATGTGCAGTTTAACCTGTCTGCTTCTCAAGAACTGATAACCTGGAGGAGGGGCTATATTTGTGTCCTCCTGCCTACAGGTCCATGGCAACTGCCTGCAAAGTTTGTCAAGCCTTGCCATGAGCTGGACAGACGAATGGAAAAATGTGATGCCTCAGCTACAGGAGCTGACCGTGAATACCCCAAGCAGAATGAGATAGAGGAAGAGAAAAATGAATGATTGCAAAACATCACTTGGGGACAACTGAAAAGTAACATCCTGAATATGTGTGCTTGTAAAGTAGCTATTATTAGAGGTTGTGATTTTGTGTATAAAACCACCTGTATTTACTAGCCAGTTGCTAATGAGGAACTACACCTTGTATTGTATAGATTTGTCACTTGTAAAAGAGATGTTAGAGTATGGAAATTTGCAGTAGCTGCTAGAAAATGCTAAGGCAAAAGCTGGAAAGACTCTAATACAATGGTAGTGTTATAAAGCAGGTGATGGAACAAATTTAAGAGGGGGGGAGAATTCCACTGGTAAGAAATTTCTTTGGCTAGTCCCTCGCTGCCATCAGCATCTTCAACATGCTGCTGCACCCTGTAATAGTTACTCTGCAAATGTAAATTTGTGTGTGCCTTGCTGCAGTAGCGACTTGTTACTGGATGAATCAGGTGAAACTCTGCATTGACAACAAGGTGTAAGGACTGAGGCTGACAAAATGCCTGCTACCACAGTCAAGGGCAAGACCGGGTTGGCCTCTGTGTTTGCCACCAAGAAGAACCTTTAGCTCCGCTGTTGGCTGCAACCCGGCAGGCGTGGAGCGGTGGGGACACATGCCATGCCAGACCTTGATGTGAAGGATGGCCTCCCCTGTTACCAGAGAGCCATACAGCAGAAAAAAGGGGCAGGCCCAGCAGCCTGTAGTTGGCATATGTTGGAGATATGATCTAGGCCAAATCCCCTGCTCAAGTAGGGTCACCCAAACCATATATAAAACAAAAAGGGGGATATGTGGAGACAGTGTTCTCACGGGAGAATGCATAATTAGTACATAAACTGAATAATCCTGAAAGATACAGCAAGGCCATGAGAGGACCAAAGAAGCTTAAGCAAGCAAGATAAGAAGAAGCTGGAATTCCCTGAGTTAATGAGAACTGTGGACTGTTGGCAAGCTTTCGAGGTCAAGTTCTCACACCTGTGCTTAACCAATTATATGTTAGTCACTAAGGGTCTTCAGGACATGTATCCAATCATAATATGCCAAATCACTGTAAGTGCATTTAAGAAATAGTATATAAGGAGTTAAGGCTTTGTAATAAATTTGGCAATCACTTGATCACATTGATCGTCTCTGCGTTGTCCGTGACTCCCA